GGGGACTCTCCATAGGCGTAATGGTTTTTATACTGTACAGACCGTATATTCTATTGCCCTACACCAACCCTACCCCTAAACCTACCCCTCACAGGAGACTTTCTGCTATTTCAGATTTTCAATACACTCCATTCTGTGTGATTTATAAGCGTTTTGAAAAGTGGGGACATGGGGTAATGTCCTGAAAAGTCACCTTCTCCTTGTAATACCTGTCATACCTTTGTTATTATACACATTTATGTCCTCATTTGTCACAAAACACACACACCCACACACACACACACACACACACACACAGAATGAATGCCCCCGCTGCTGCTCGTGCTGCTCAATACTAGGCCACTGAACAGAGAAATTATCTCCCATCAGGCCGTGCTGCTGGCGTCCAGAGGGGGGAGGAAGCAAACAAAAGGCCTTACAAACGAGTCTCTTTCAGTCAAACACATTCAGATAGTGAAGCACGGTGTGAACCGCAGCCTGCCATCATCATCATCAGAGAGAGACAGCGGTCATGTGACCCAGAAACACGGATCACACGCAGAACCACGTTACCATAGCAACCAGCAGACGGTAACCCTGCGACGTCAACCGAGAGCAAATTAATGTGAGCCGGCAGAAGCTGGTAACCAGCACACACACACACACACACACACACACACACACAGGTCAACATACTGCAGATGCAGATAAGAAAATCAAGCAAACAATGGTTTATATTTAAACGTTTGGCAGACACAATCATTCATAGCGACTCACACTGCATTCAATCTATACATCTGTTTGATCGGTTCATGTATTCACTGGGAACCAAACCCATGTCCTTCCACCATCCTGAGCTACAGCTGAGCTTCACACACACACTCTCTGATTTTACAGAAATGTTTGTTAGATTATTACATAATCATCCCAAGACCTCCTCATTCACACACCTGCACTATAAAAACCCATAACCTTCAGTATCACGATTCCTGTAATCATGTGAAGGTTTGACTATTTAAAACGGTCTTCACTTACAGTGAAACCTGTTGAGTCACTAGAGCTCATGAATCACATTTAAATCTGGTGTTTTACACAGGTTTCTCTCAGGGTTGGATTAGGAGTCAGAGGTCAGGTTAGAACACAGAAAATAGCATTAACCTGACAGAAAAACAGTGAAAGCCTATGTGTGTGTGTCTATATATATGTGTGTGTGTGTGTGTGTGTGTGTGTGTGTGAGAGTGACTATATATGTGTGTGTGCGTGTGTACACGTGTAAATGTGTGTGTGTGTGTGTGTGTGTGAGAGTGTTTGTGTGAGTGTTTGTGTCTGTATATGCGTGCGTGTGTGTGTCTGTATATGCGTGCGTGCGTGTGTGTGTCTGTATATGCGTGCGTGCGTGTGTACACGTGTATATGTGTGTGTGAGTATGTGTGTGTGAGTGTGTTTGTGTCTGTATATGCGTGTGTGTGTGAGAGTGAGTGAGAGAGTGTGCGCATGTGTCTGTATATGTGTGCGTGCGTGTGTGTGTCTGTATATGCGTGCGTGCGTGTGTGTGTGTGAGAGAGTGTGCGTGTGTGTGTGTGTGAGAGAGAGTGAGTGAGTGTGTCTGTATATGCGTGCGTGTGTGTGTGTCTCACCGTTTCTGCAGGTCTTGTTGTCGTCCAGTAACTGGACACCGGTCGGACAGGCGCACTGGTAATAAGGTTTGACCGGAGACAGCAGACATAGATGAGAACATCCTCCGTTCTTCAGCGCACAGGGACTCGTCACCTCTGTCACACACACACACACACACACACACACACACATCAGACGACGAAAACAGCATGAGAACATGACGACGTGTAAGCGTGTCCAACAGACTTGATTCACAGATAACAGTAAGGGTGTTTCACTGATCAAACCCTCTAAGACTCTCTCTCTCTCTCTCTCTCTCTCTAACACACACAC